ATAGTTGTGTTTATTTTGGATTTCACTGGTACTTTTGTTGGATCATTTTCTGTGTTCATCTACCCTTGTTGTGATGTTCCTGTTTCTGTGTGTAGCACATCCTTGAGCATCTTTTGTAGGGCTGGGCTAGTAGTTACAAATTCTTTCAATTTCTGTTTGTTGTGGAAGACCCTTATTTCTCCTTCATTCATAAATGAGAGTTTTGCTGGGTACAGTATTCTGGATTGACAGTTTTTTTCTCTTAAGACTTGGAGTATGTCTCACCATTCTCTCCTTGCCTGTAGCGTTTGTGATGCGAAGTCCAAAGTGAGTCTAATTGGGTTCCTCTGAAGGTGATTTGTTGTTTCTCTTGTGTACATTTTAAGATGTTTTCTTTATGAGTTACTTAGGAGAGCTTTGTTACAATGTGTGCAGGTGAAGGTCTTTTCTGGTCTCCTCTATTGGAAGTTCTCTATACTTGTACTTGTATGCCTCTTTCTTCACATTGGGAAAGTTCTCTGTAATTCATTCATTAAGAAGGCCTTCTAATTGTTTCTTTCCATGCCTTCTGGAATTCCTAGGATCCATATATTGGGTCATTTGATAGAATCCTGTAGATCTCTGTTTTTTAATTTTCTAATTCCTTGTCCTGTGTTTAGTCTGACTGTATTATTTCCAGAAATTTGTCTTCTAGTTCTGATATTCTTTCTACTGTCTCACTTCTTCTATTGTTAAGGCTTTCCACTGTGTTTTTTATTTAATCTATTGCATTTTTTCATTTCTAGTATTTAATTCTGACTTCTCTTTAATATCTCAATTTCTTGGAAACACTTTGCATTTAGATCATGAATTTGTTTCTGATTGCTTCTAAGTAATCTGACAATTTTCTGAATTCCATTTCTGGCATATCCTCTGTCTCTTCAGCTTCTGTTACTGAGTTGTAGTAGTCCTTTGGGGGACTCAGTGTCTTCCTAATTCTTACCAAGGTTTTTGGCTTTGTTTTTCTGCATTTCTGGTTGCTCCTCTCTTTAATATGTGTCTTGGTTCCTGTGGTGAGATTTCCCTCTGCTATGTGTGCCTTGCAAGAGGAAGCACACAGCCCTGCCTCTGGGGCAGGTTCGAGAGCTCTGGTGCACTAAGCCCCGCCTATTGGGGGCTGGGCTCACTTCTCACTGGTGCATGGAAGCTCAGGATTTTGGTATTTAGGACTTCTTCTTGTACAGCTTGTGTGGTGGGGTGGGGGTGGGGAATTACTCTGAAATGTTGTGATCCTTGTTCCCGGGATGGGAAGTGTGAAATGGCCCCACAATTGATGGGCGTGTGCACAGGAGGCAAATGCGGTAGCCCGCCGTAGCCCTCTGCTTACATTTGAAGATGTTAACAAACAATATGGCTTCTCCCAGCTGGCTGCAGGTCCGGTTCGGGGGAGGGGGCAGACATAGATGGACAGGGGCAGGCCGATCTCTGTTCCCCTATTCTTCCCACTTGGAGCTGCCAGGCTCCCCTGCCTGGTGCTATCCGCAGCTCCATGGATTGGAGACCTCGTGTCTCACTTGGTCCATCGAGAGGTGGGGGAGGGGGGGGCTGTCCGTCTCCCCGTTTGGCTTCTCCACTGTGCCTCTGCCGCTCCCCTTTTTTGCTCCCTCAGCATGCGTGAAATTCTCCCAGCTCTGTCCCTGGCTTGTATCCCCTTTCCTTATGAACTATTTTTCCCTGCATGACTCAGAACATCTTGTTGCTATACTAGTATCTCGGCCCCCTCGCCAGGTTTATTTTTGTAAATAAAATATGAGTATTTTAAGAAACCCTATTCTGAATTTGAGAAGTTGAATTAAAAGCTTATTTGCTAAGCCTTACAGGGATATCCCCGGGCTTCAGCTATTGTGAGAAGGATCGATGTGAGGATCATAGCTGCTAGACTTTTCCAGAGTATAACCCAGTTCTGGAGGTTTGGCTCATCAGGGCAGCATGCCTGATGGCAGGTCATGTGTGCCACCTGAGATTGAGAGGGCCTGACTGACAGTTGGGAGGCCTGCTGACTGGCTCTTCCCAGCCCTCCTAATCAGCAAATGACCTCACAGAACCACCTCATCTGAGAACCTGTATATTTATCACATTATTTCCAGAAAAAGAATCCAATATTTGGAAGTACAAATTCTGGCAATGGAAGACTTGTTTTTGATGACCAGATAAGCTCTTGGTGTTAAAATAATTTTTCAATAGTGAAAAATTTCAAACTGGCATTTAAGTTTTTTAAAAATAATGTTTGTAAGTTTTGTTCTCTGGAAAGTTTTGACCCTAAGATTAAAGTCTACTAACAGCTCAGTTCTAAAGTTCAGTTAGAACTCTCTAACTGAATGAGCACTGTATTTTTCCCAGCTCTTCTCTTCCCTAGACTGTGTTTGTGCTGGTATGGATGTATGTATGTATAGCATGTGCTCCCATCCACTGGTTCGTCTCGTAAATGCCTGCAATGGCCAGGGTTGGGCCAGGTCACAGCTTGGAGCCGCAAGCCCAATCCAGTTCTCCTACATGGGTGGCAGGAAACTAACCCTATCTGATGACTCCCAGGAGCCATCACCTGTTGTCTCTCAGGGTGTGCACTAGTAGGGAGCTGGATTCAGGAGTAGGAGCAGGACTTCAACCCAGGCGCTCTCATAAGGGGTGCAGGCATCAAGCATCCCAATTGGCAGCTTACCCAGAAGGCCAAACAACTGCCCTTGCCTTTTTTTTTTTTTTAATCTTAAAGTTTTGGTTAGGGAGTTGTAACATCAGTCAAGATAATTTACCTCATTAAATTTCAGAAACGGACAGGGTAAGATGTAACCAATGTGGGCTTACAAAACAGATGAAGATGATACCATTTATACCAAGAATCATACCACCATATTTGATATTTTATTCAACTTTAATATGGTTTCCATTAACTTTTAAAACAAAATGATTTCCAGTTTAAAAAACAATGCACTGACCACATAATTCCTTTTTCATTTTATACAGTTATACAAATATTCTAAATACACATTTTGTGTTCAAGATGATGGCAAATAAGATTAACTGTACAGTACATAAGGAAAGAAAATACTTTAAGCATATTTAGAAGCAATAGAAATGTCTATACAAAACAAGCAAAAATGGAATAAAATTTTTATTTTTAAAGTATTGCAACAGGCCCACAGGTTTGTAACAAAAATGTCTTTGCACAGTTCCTCACAATGCCCCATTGATAGCTAAAGCAAGACAGTGGTTTTTAGAAAATAATGTTTCAAAATGCTACACATGGTACTATTAGTTTGCACAGTTTGATCAAAATAACAAATCTACTTTGAGTCAAGCAAAACCTAGAGGAATATACCAAACAACTTGAAAATCATTTGTATAAAATTCATTGCACGTTATTTTACTCAGTTGTTTGAAAAGTAAAAAAGTGTATTTACAAAATATTTCGCAGTCAAAATTATAAAGTGAATGGATATTTCTAACACGTCTTGATACAGACAATTTCAAGGAAAACACACAAATGTTTTTTCTTTAAGAGGTTTTTTTCAGTGCTCCTTCCACAGGGAAGTAAACATGATGTAATCAAATGGATCTACAAGATGTTACACAAATCCAACACCTGCATTATAAAATAATGTTAAAAAGGTGAAAGAATGAGGAATTTGTACATTGTAAGAGGTGAGCAGTTCAGATATCAACAAGTACAATTTTCAACTCAGCATTAAAGTCTTCATAGTCTTCAGGGAACAGACAGACAGACAATGGACAGCCTTGACTTGATGAAAGTTGAAAAAGCACCATGCACAACAGTTTAGTGGTAAACACTGAAAAAAATAGCACCTGGAATTCTGGGAAACTGACAATTTAAAACTGGTCTAGTAACTGCCGGAGATATGGTGCCTTTGATAATTCTCTATTTACTCGGGAGAGTTTGAAAAGTACCGGGCAGTTCAGAGAAACACATGGGATATGTCGGTCAAAGCAACCAGTACAGTTCTTGCATATCTGAAAGCATAAGAGAAATATATAAAACAATGGAAAAGTTTCTGGAGATATGTATAAACAGCAAATCTTTATGCTCCAGTCTTTTTTATTTACTATAGATTACTGGCAGATATAACATGTCATTCATTAAAGTTTCATTAATTTTCATCTCTTAGAAGCCTCTCCTATCCTGTGTTGAGATACTTCTAAAGGATATTATGTCACCAAAATAAAGGACAAAATCTCCCAAGGATTCATTTAATTTCTGAGATCCTTTCACTTACCATAGAATCCCATTATGTGAAAATCCACATAATTAGCTACCCAGTTACCAAAAAAATGTATTTTAAATGAACTATAAACTTTTTTTTTACAAATTACAGATGTATCTATATATGGCAATCATAAAAACATTATTAGTTTAGAAGAGAAAAATAATGTGAATTTTAAAGTAGTAGGCTAGTGGTTTTCAACCTTAGTTCCAGTAGTTCACAATAAATAATGCCTGAACCCCACCCAGCCCAATGCATCACAATATCTGGGTATGAGCCTAGCAATCTGTACTTCTTAAGGAAATTAATAAGGCAATTTTTAAAAAAAGAGTGACACAGTGACCAGCTGTCAGACAAGTTGGTTGCAGTTTTCAAAATTACGCTCCTGTTATAAGCAAGCTGCTACAAATGCATGCTTCACTGTGTGCCATGGAGACGGAGTACACGTGCTGCTACAAATCTTCCAAGATATTCAAATATAGGATTTCTGTCTTACAGCTCTACGTTCTGTAGCTATCCTCAGGTGCTAGCAGAAACTGACAAATATTTAAGCCCTCTCTGTGCTTGTCTGATAAATAAGCCAGGATGGAATTACATGACTCACTAAATGTCACTCAATGTTGCATTTCAAGATTCTTCACCGGTGATTTAAACCCTGAGCATTCAGCCCAGTTCAGGCTCACATTCAAAACTATGAATGCCACAATGTGGAAACCTATATTTTAGCTTATTCTTTGACTTAGTTTTTCATTACTTTCCTTTCAGGTTTATCATGAAAAGTGTTTAAGGTGACGAACAGGAATTTCCTCTGACACTTGCAGCCACCGAGGACCTAGGATGCAGTATTTGCACTGTTAATAGGCAGTATGGGAATTTGCCAGTGGATGAGTCACTTTGCTTTCTAGTTTTATATCACAGTATTGATAAAATGTATAAATATTTCTACTTTTGAAGTTTTTTGAGGCTTTCTATACATGTTAAGGAATGGTTAATTTTTTTTTTGATAGAGAGAAAGGTCTTTCATCCGTTGGTTCACCCCTCAAATGGCTGCTACCGCTGGCACTGCGCTGATCCGAAGCCAGGAGCCAGGTGCTTCCTCCTGGTCTCCCAAGTGGGTGCAGGACCCAAGCACTTGGGCCACTCTCCACTGCCCTCCCGGGCCACAGCAGAGAGCTGGCCTGGAAGAGGAGCAACTGGGACTAGAACCTGGCGCCCATATGGGATGCAGATGATTAGCCAAGTGAGCCATGGCGCCGGCCCCTGGAATAGTTAATTATTTTAACATTCTATAAACACTGAGGAAGAGTGTTATCTAATTTTGCGCTGCAGAGTTTGATACATAATCATAACGTCTACCTTATGATGTTTAGAGCTTCCATAATTACACTCTGATCACTTGATCAGAAGTCTCAGAATCTCCTCTTGTGAATATACTTCTGTCTGCTTCTCAGTGTATCTCCTGAAATTTCTAGATTTGTACATGGGAGATATTCATCTTTAACTCTTAAGGCAAAAAAAAAAAAAAAAAAAATCCCAAATAGCAGAATTTAACATATCTCTTGAAAGATGGCAAATCACTCTTAATTAATTTTTTTAAATGATGCTATTTGCAATTAATTTGAAAGGCAGAAATAGGAGGAGAGAGATTTTCCATCTATTGATTCATTCCCTAAATGGCTAAAATGGTCAGGGATGGACCAGGCCAAAGCCAGGAGCCTCTTCTGGGTTTCCCACATGAGTGCAGGGGCCCAAGTACCTGAGCCATCTTCCACTGTTTTCCCAGGTGTCTTAGCAGGGAGCTGGATTGCAAGTGGAGTAGCAAGGCGTCCATATGGGATGCTGGCTCTGCAGTCGGAGGTTTAACCCACTGTGCTACAGTGCTGAGCCTGCATCATTTCTTTTCAGTCTTACGTCTTACAAAAATACAAGCTAACACTGAAGGAGAATTCTGGTTAAATTTACAGTCCTAGCCTAGTGCTTGTCACTGAGGAAGAGATCACACACAGCCTGACCTAAGCAGAACTCTGAGGATCCTGTTCTCAGTTTGTGCCTCGTATTAGGATTCAACAAGAGAATCTGCTATAAGGTGGTTGCTGCTATTGGGACAGCAGCCAATAAACTAAACAGAGGCTGAGAGCACCCAGTGATTTTAGTGCCTACTGACTAGAACCACATCTGGCACAAAATGGCTGAAAGTTGGCTAGTAATAACTGTAGTGATACATTCTCAGCTAAAGGTTTGAGCTGTTTGTTTTTAGATGACTGGGGGGAGCCAGAGGAAAGCAGAGGGAGCAGGGTGTTTGAAGGCTAGGAGCTGGGAGAGATTAAGGTACATCCACACACCCAGAAGTTCAGTATGGTATCTGTACAGGGTAGAGTGGGACAGGGGGAGGGTGAGAAGTGATGACACAGGTAGCAGGTAGAACCAGAACAGAAAAAGACTTTCTATTTCAGTTCAAGACACGACTTGCATCTCATGTTCATACCCCATCTCACTTATTAGCAGTGCTAATGTGCGAATTACTTAACCTCTCTATAGCACTTTATTCATCTGAAAGAGTACCTAGAACAGACCCAGACAGTAAGACTCAGCCATGCGGGGCAGGTGTTCAGAGCAGTGGTTAAGGCATTGCTTGGGATGCCTGCATCCCACATTGGAGTGCATGGGTTCAGATGCTGGCTCCACTTCCAATTCCAACTTACTGCTAATGTACACCTTTGGAGACAGGACATAATAGTCCAAATGCTTGGCCCCTGTCACCTAGCTGGGAGACTCAGATTTAGTTGCAAGTTCCTGCCTTTGTGTGGCCCAGCCCTGACTACTGTGGGCATCTGGGGAGTGAACCAGGGGACAAAATATCTCTATTATTTATTTTACTTGAAAAGCATAAACAATTTTTTTTAAAAAAGAATCATGTTAACTATTAATTTTTCTATATATACTTTTAGAACTGTAGACCTTCCACATTTACTAGCAATTCTCTAAGATTTTTATGAGCAGAGTAAGCACTGACAGAATAATTGGGACTTCTCTATTTTTACAAAAATTTTGGTAGTAAACTTATCTTTTTTTTAAATTATTTGAGAGGCATAGAGATGGAGAGAGAAACACTCATTTGCTGGTTCCTTTCCCAAATGCCTCCAACAACTGGGGCCGAAGCTAGGAGCCAGGAATGCAATCTAGGTCCCCCTTGGAGGTGGCAATCCAATTCCTTGAGCCATTATCAATGCCTCCCATGGTCTGCCCTAGCAGGAAGCTGGAGTCAGGGCAGATGCAAAATACCTACCCGCCTCCCCTTTAAAATATATTGTTATAAAAGAAACTGGGTGGATGACTGTTCTAGTTCTAGGTTTTAATAAACACATTATTCCATAAAAACAAAAAAAGCCATTTTTAATAGTTTAGTTCCATTATAATATTTTGGAGATTGTTAAGTTTATTAGGGGCCAGTGCTGTGGTGCAGCAGGTTGCAGCTCTAGCCTACAGCACTGGCATCCCATATGGGTTCCGGTTCGAGTCCCAGCTGTTCCACTTCTGATCCAGCTCCCTGCTAATGTACCTGGGAAAGCAATGGAAGATGGCCCAAGCCCTTGGGCCTCTGCACCCACGTGGGAGAACTGGAAAAAGCTCCTGGCTTTAGATTGGCTCAGCTCCGGCCATTTGGGGAGTGAACCAGTGGATAGAAGATCTCTTTATCTCTCTCTCTCTTTATGTCTTATTTGAAAGAGTTACAGAGAGAAGTAAATAAAAATCTTTAAAAATAAGTTTATCATTTTAGAACCCTCATTTCACTTGTCACATCAGTTTCATATCTCACACTGAAATTCAAGGGCTGTCTCTATGTCTCTGAAGAACCAGACTACCTGAGATTCCAGGTTGCTGAACAAGGCCATACCTTTGTAAGTTGCTCCTGTTTGCGTTCCAACTCTCTGATTTCTTGGTTGAGGATGATGGCAACATGCTGAGGTTGGCTTCGACATTTACTACAGATGCCATGCTGAGTCAGCTCATCGCACACAGGACAGTGTAAAGTGGTGAAATATTGTGAAATAGTGCCTTTCCGCCCTTCAAGTTCACTTCGAGAGGAGCTGGAGGCTTTGTGGATCTGTAAAAACATCAATTTGGAAATCAGTCTGAGCCACCTTCCCAGCGGAGCAGCTATTCTGCTGTGATTATGGCTTTACTTAGGCATTACTCATTCATTCGTTTATTCATTCAGCCCCTGTTGAGAGGCCAGGCACTGCTCCCAGCACTGGGGCGCCAGCAATGAATGCCCTTGCCTTCACGGAGCTTCCATCTTAACTTCACCTGACACGTTCAGTTTTTTCTTCCGGAAAAACTAGTTTTGTGGTTGCGATATATACAGATGTACTGACAGATCACACGGGGCGAGGAGACCACAGAGGACCACGGGAAGAGTCCATGGAGAGAGCAGAGACTGCTGAAAGGCTGCACGAGGTGAGCCGTGCACACAAAGCAAGTGGAAGGTGAAGAACAGTGTTAGGTAGCAGGGTGAGAAATCCCAGCAAAAGCAAAGCAGGAACTTTTCAAATTTAATTAGATAAACGTTGCCTAAGAATTCTTCTTTTCGAGTGAATACTGGTTTCCGAGATCAGTCTTCTGGTACTATTTTTACACTAAAATAAATTATTGTTGGCAGTTTCTTCTGGTGCCTTATAAGTTACTGTGCAAAAAGTTATCAGGTTAACTCTTACACATGCTAGTGGCTTAATATTCTTGCTGACGATGAGATGAAAAATGGTATTTAAAAAACTTGAGCTTCCTGGCTTGGAGCCAGGACACAGCACTAAGACGTCAGCCAGCACAAATTCTCTGAAGTACAGCCTCAACCTCAGTTCTGAGTATATGCTTTCCCTTTCTCTTTAAAGTGTTTGCTGAAAACCTAATTTAAATATCAGCTTTTTAAAAATCAGTTTGCCTGAAAACCCTCTGTCTTTCATAGTCTGAGATACCAGCAAACTACTGAGAAGATCTGAATTCTAACCAGCAGAAAAAATGACTATTCTAAAAAAATGTGTGACAGATTATTTACAGAATTACATATTGCTCCTTCATGCTTCTAATGAATAAACTAGAAAAGAACTCAAGCAAAATGCCCTTTGATAAGATTCCATATTACACGTTTTACATTTTTATTTCTTTGGTTTTGTTACAACCCTGTCTAGATACTCTATCCTATACATTTCCTAAACATTTATGCTGAAGGAATTTTTATTCATTTCTTTTCATTTTATTTATTTATTTTTATTCATTTATTTTATTAGCTGGTTTGCTCTGAGATATTTTGTAGCTCAGTATTTACCACTGAAATAGCTATGGGATTTATTTTAATATTTCTATAATTTGGCCAGCCTGATAGAAGCTGGGAAGGTATCTGTAGACAACTTCTCAAGTTTCTTTTTTAGGAAACCAGAAGAATATGGTGTCTTTGCCAATTTAGGATAAAAGATGGTCTGCTTTGCTCCTTGCAAAATATAAATTTCCTATAAAACTTAAGGTTTTACTTAAAGTGAAGTTTCTCTATAGTGTATAGCACATGTACAAGTCAGTAAGCTTACCCTTGGTAATTCATGATACCAACTGAAGACATCGATACCAATAAGTGAGAAGATTCTTGCCAAGGGTGGAAGAATTTGCTTGGTGATATAGTAAGTGGCATTCAGTCTCAGAGTCGGGTCTTGCAGGACTTCCACTGGCCGCCTTACCAGCTGGATAAGTGGCACTCCAGGACTCCCGTAAATGATGACATAGGGCACTCGCTCCCCAACTCGAGGCTCAGAGCGCCGATCGTAAGTAAGCATTTTTCTATTCAAATCCAAATAAGAGACATACTCAAAGACTGCCACAGAAGTATCTTTATAGCACATTAAATCAGAATTAAATGCTGAAGCAATGAAAACTCTTTAAGAGTTATTACTTCTTCAGAAACTAT